ACCAAGGATGACTGGGGTGTAGATGGCGAAGATGACAAAGATGGCGGGCCTGAGGCCACTGGAGCCCGACCTACAGACCCCCGTAGGCTGGGCGATGCCTGTTTTCCGCCACTGCTGACATCGCTGCTTTCGGTGCCTTAGCGGGACACTTGGCCACAAAATGGCCTTGACTGCCACAATAGAGGCATAGGCCATTATGACAATGCCTATCCTTTTCAGCTTGGGTCAGGCGAGTGCGGGCAGCCCCCAACTGCATGGGCTCGTCCAAAGGTACTTCCAACGGGGGCGCTGTCTTGCTGGGAACAAATGCGGTCTCTGTCGTTGCGCCCGTCGCTGCTGAAGCCTGGCATCAATATGAAGGCACAGATGCATGATCTCCAGCAGGGTGCAAGGACATTCAGTGCACGCCAACTCGTCCAGGAGCTCCGACAACAAGCTTTCCTGGAACTGGTCTATCAGTGCTGCCTCATTCCATTGCAAGTCCTGTGTAACCACCCGAAAGTTAGCAATACAGTCTGTGAGTTTGCCTCACCCCTGCCTCAATTCTCTGAATCACCTGTTTGCTGTTTGGGCCTGAACAGGGTCCTCCAACATGCCCTTTAACTGACAGCAAAACTCGGCATAATTATCCAACAACTGGTTGGGCTGGGTCAACAGGCGTCGCCCAACGTGCTGCAGATCCTGACAACAAACTAATCAAAAACCCCACCCTATCCCAGTCAGCGGGGAAGTCCTCTGGCCGAACACTCATATAAAGCTGGCACCGCCCCCAAAATGCTGGAAATTGGGCCAGCGATCCATCAAATTTACCTGGCACCGCTACCGGGCATTTGTGGCATGGCCGGACAGCTTGCATTTGCACAACCTGCGCAGTCAAAAGAGCCACTTGCTGGCTTAACTGGGCACTGTCTGCTCTGAGCTGATCCATGGTCACCCCACGTAAAACAGAAGCAAGTTGGAGGGGTGGCTGGAAGCAAAATGTGATGACCCGGGGCGTGACACAAATATAACAAAGTCACAAAAGTAGAATAAATGTCCTTTAATGCCTCCAACTTGGCCCCAATGTCCAATTATCCTCGGCTGGATAACAAACTCTTCAAAAAACAGTCTACAAAGGGCAGAAATGCAGTCCGAACCCAAAGTAAAGATAATTAGAGATAAAAAAACCAACACGAACCACACTGAAGTAATTAACACGGCAGGCCAGGGTGATAAATTGCAGACTTTCAAAGGATAACACAGCACCCACAGTTGGGAGGATGCCAAAACTCAGATAAGCCTCAACCAAGATAATGCACACTTTGCTTCCAGCAAGGAGCCATGTGCAAATGACCTACTTATATCCTGTTCTCCCAGCTGCAACTAATGACAGGGATCAGAGTCTCCTTCTCATAAGCCATGTTGCTCCTTTCTCCGTTCCTCCTTTCTCCGTTCCTCCCTTCATGCCCTAGGATGAAGAGGGGATGGCCCTGCATGCCCAGCCAGACTGTGCCCTTCCCCCGTTTCTTCCAAAGCCACCGGAGCCACACTCCCACTCCCTGTCAGCTGCTCAATCTCCTCCTCAGAATCAGACTCCCAACAAGGGCATGACACGTTCAGTATTTTGTGGGGCTGCATTACTAGCTGTCCAGAGTTACATGTGGCCTGCGGGCTGCTGATTGGACATGCTTGGTTTAGCTTATGTTGTGTATATTCAGGGTACAGGACATGCATTTAGGTGAGAACTGTGTTTGTCAAAAAATGAACAAAATGTACATTGTACAGGTAGTCCTCAACTTACAACCATTTGTTTAGTGACTGTTCAAAGTTAGAACAGCAGTGAAAATAGTAATTTATGACTTACATGACCATTGTAGCATCCCCATGGTCATGTGATTGAAATTTGGGCGCTTGGCAGTTGGTTCATATTTATGACTGGTGCAGTGTCCTGGGGTCATGTGATCACCTTTTGCAATCTTCTGATAAGCAAAGTCAATGGGGAAACTGGAGTCATTTAACAGCTATTTTACTAACTTAAGTGCAGTTGATTCACTTAACAGGAGGCAGGAAGGGTCAAAAAATGGGGCAAAACTTGCTTAACAACTGTCTTCCCTTGCAATGGAAATGTGGTCAGTTGTGGTCGTAAGTTGAGGACTACATGAATGGATGTAGAACAAGGCTGTCAAACTTCTGGCCCATGGGCCGGATGTGTCATACACCGGCCACGCCTACGCCCAGTTTAGCAAAGGGGGAAAAAGTCCCGATACATCGCATGATGCCGCCATGACGACATGAGTTTGACACCCTTGATGCAGAATATTTAATCTCATAAGTGTTCTTGGCCGAATTGTGCATATGGTTTAGAGCAGAGGGGTACAAGCACTTTGGGAACACAAAGCTACATTTGGTCTTTGAATTGCATGCTGGAGATTGAGTTCATGAAATAAGCATGACAGGACTGGGACAAAAACTAACTTTGTTTTGATATGTAACTTTAATGACAGTCAAATTGGGTTCTTTAAAGACAGTTAAGGTAAACATTTCATTTTGATTTAATAATTGTACACTTTTACTACGTTAAACATTACAATTTAGTGGCAACTTTGAGATTTGCTGTAGGAACCAGAAGTTGTACAACCTGGCTTTAAGACTATACAGTGGGTGTCATAAGATTATTTTAAGGAAATTTAGAGGAATTTCTAGTCCCAATTTTGAAGGAAGAGTTTGAATACAAACTGGTAACAGCAAACAAGAAGGAAAAGAAATATACTTTCAAAGGGAAATTAAAAAAAGAATAATGTTATCAGGATATGTGGAGGCTGTAAACTAAGAGGACTGTTACTGCCTTGGAAAACATGATAATTATGGAAGAAAGAACTTGGCAAGATACAAAATCTGGACTAGCAGTAGTTGAATACATTAGAAAAATTAGGAGCAACTGTATAGGGCCGAGATATCAATAGTCCTCAACTAACAATTGTAATTGAACCTGGAATTACTCAGGTGGGATTCAAATTTTTTAACAACCGGTTCTGTGGGCGTGGCTTGGTTGGTGTGGCTTGGTCATGAGACTGGGTGGATGTGGCTTGGTGGTTATGTTATTGGCTGGGCATGGCCAACTCAATATCACTCACATCGAGGCATGCATCTCCTCGCCTGGCCTCATGACTGTGGGGATGCTGCAACAGTTGTAAGTGTGAAAAATGGTCATAAGTCACTTTTTTCAGTGCCATTGTAACTTTGAATGGTCACTCCACACAAGCAAAGTACCTGCAAAGGAGGGGAAAAAAACTCCAGAGAAGTTCCTGAGACAGGAAGTCTAGTCCTGCCAAGAATGTAATAAGGGTTAACGGAGAGGCAGTTTCTGTAAACAACACCAGAATGTTTCCTTCCTGCCTTCCTTACAGGATTAGGCCAGTAATTTCTTCTAACAACCGGTTCTCCGAACTGCTTAGAATGTTAACAACCGGTTCTAGCAAATAGGTGCAAACTGGTAGAATCCCACCCCTAGAATTACTGCTGTAAGTCATTGCAGTTGTAAGTCTATGTATCAGGTGACTAGATTTGAAATTGTGAGGTTTTTTAAACAAGGGTTGTTAAGTGAATCATCCCCCCCCCTCGCCATTTTTACCACAAACCAGAAGTAAATGACAGAAAACTCTAAAAAACAATTGCAAATCATGGTCATGTCACCACAGAACAGTGCAAACAGTAAAGGTGAAAGAGGGGAGGCAAGGAATGTTGCGGGACCCAGAAGAAGAGCCTTTTCCATGGTGGCTCCCTCCCTTTGAAACATCATCCCTGCAGAAATTAGACTTTGGCAGTCTTTTGGAAGGTCCTGAAGATATGGTTTTAGCAGCAGGCCTGGAGAACCCAGAGTGTAATTGAGCCCATCAAATGGTTTATTTAATTGTGCACTGTTGCGGTGGGTGGGTGCAGGTTATTGTGTTTTATCTTTTTTAATTTTTATCTCTTTTTTTTTCCTATTTTGTGTTTTTACTGTGTGTAAGCTGCCTAGAGTCACTGTGACACGTAGGCAGCTATATAAACGGGTGGGATGCTACCGGTTCGGCTCGGTTCTATAGAACCGATAGCTCTGAAGAGCAGCAGACAACGAACCGGTTCAGTGTCTGCTGCTCTGTTTGGCCCAGCCACCCGCCCAGGCTCTTGGCTGTCCTTTATTTCCTGCTTTTTCAACCTTAGCTGCTTTGCGTGGCACAGCTGAGGTTGAAAAAGCAAGAAAGAAGAGGATTTTCAAACGCTGCAAACCTGTGCACAGCGTTTGTCAGCTGTCCAGGCGGCACAGCTGAGGTTTTTAGGAAATGGTCTACACGCATGTGCAAAACACACTCTCACAAGGGGTGGGATTCTACCTGCCAGAGAACCGGCAAATCGTGCCCCTGGCTGGCCCCGCCCTGCCCACTCCTTACCTGACATGCACGACATCAAACTTGCCTGCTAAGTTGCTATTTTTCCTCTTTTTTTCTACCATCAGCTGTTCTGCTGTGCCGGGAGATTTAGATTAGCTAGAATGCAGGAAATTGTCGGATTTCTTGCTTTCTAGCTAATCTAAAAGCAGAGCTGAGCCTGAAGCTTCTATTATTCAGTGCAGACTCAGGTAGCAGATGGCAGAAACACAGATCTCTAAGTGAATCTGTGATTCTGTGAACAATCTGCCTGTTTGCTTTGCCTGATTTTGGGTAAAAGTTGCTCTTTTTTTTATAAAATTCAATATTTACATAAATATAATGTTTACATACAAGCCATGCCCAGCCAGTCACATGACCACCAAGCCACACCTACAAATTAGGCCACACCCACACAACTGGTTGTTAAGAAATTTGAATCCCACCCCTGTATATAAATGTTCTAAAATAAAAAATGTGCCAAAAATGTGATCACATGACCATGGGGTGGTAGTATGCAGCCATATAATTCTGAAAATGGTTCCTAAGTAGCTTTGGGGTGCTTTGTCCTAAATTGATCATTAAGCGACCAATCATAAATCAAGGATTTCCTGTTCATGGAGAGTTGGGGGGGGGGATGAGTTAACTCTTCTTTTTTTTCACCATTGGTTCCTTTTTCTCTTGGCAGTTGGCAATTACGGGTTGTTCTTCTGTCTCCTCAGAACAAGAATTAATCCGCCAGGACTTGAGTTCCCGATTCCTTACGACGCAAGGCGGGGCCGACATGGGAGCTGCTGCCATTCGCCCTCTGGCTTTCCAGTTCCACCAACACAACCACCAGCACCAGCACACCCACCAGCACACCCACCAGCACTTCACTCCTTTCTCATCAAGCATGGTACCCACACCCAGCCCAGCCATGGTAAGTGCAGTAGAGACTTAGCAAGGTGGCAGGCAAGACTTCATGGGTCATGGGGCTTACAGCATCTGGTACAGGGGTGTCAAACTGGATTTCTTCGACAGCCGGATCAGCATTGTAGTTTTCCACAGGCCGGCCAGGGGTGGGATGGGGTGGGAGACCGGACAGACACCTCCTCTGCAGCACCCTGCTGGCCAAAACAGGACACGGGGTGGCCATGCAAGCCCCCCCCCCCCCCTGTTTTTTGCCTGGACGTCCTGTTGCAGCACCCTGCCGGCCAAAACGGGGCACCCCATTTTGGCCGGCAGGATGCTGCAAGAGGACGTCCAGGCTGAAAACAGGTGCATGGGAGGCCGTGTGAGGCCCCCCTACCTTGTTTTGGCTGCCAGAGGTACCACAGGCTGGTCCTTTGCTATTTCCAGGGTGGCCCCATGGACCAGATTTAAACGGGTCATGGGCCTTGAGTTTGACACCCCTGATCTAGTAGGATCAACTTGATCTATCAGAATTTAGAAGTTAGTTTAAAAGGATTCTTAATGTGATGACCTGGGGCATGGCACAAAGGCAACACAGTCACATAAGTAAGAAGAGTCCCTTTAATACCTCTAACTTTGCCCCCAATGTCCAGGTTACCTTTGGCTGGAGAAAACAAACTCTCCCAAGAACAGTCTTTAAGTGGAGGAAATTCAGTCCGAAAACAAAGTACATACAAACTGTAAATAAAAATCCACACAAACCTCAATATATTACAATAACTGGAATCCCTGGTATAAATGGTTAAATCAAAGATAGATCATGTATAAGATAAACTTAGTCGAGGGTAATTTAAATATAGATACCGATAAGATGTGCGTATACGATACAATTTAAGAAGAAAAGATCCTACAGACTCTCAAAAAGGAAAATGTTTTTAAATGTTCAGCTTTCCTTTTTTCTTTTTTTTTCTTTTCTCTTTTTTCTTTCTCTTTCCTCTCTTTCTGCGTTTCTTTCTTTCTCCTTTTCTGGCCTTTTTCTTGGCTTTGTTATTTGTGTATATGTTGTAGATTTGTTTTTTTTAATTGTAAAATTAATAAAATTTGTTTTTGTTTTTTTAAATCCACACAAACCACACTGCAGTAATTAACTTGACAGGGCAGGATAAGGAGTTGCAGACTTCAAAGGCCAACAAAACACACACAGTTGGGAAGACGCCAGGAACCCAGATAAGCCTTGACAAAACAAGATAATACACAATTTGTTTCCAACAAGTTACTGTGCGCAAACTCCCTTTTTAAACACTGTGTTCCCAGCTGCAGCTAATGAAGGGAATCAGCACCCTTTCCTCCCCGGTAAGCCACGCAACTCACAATGCTCCCTTCTCCGTTCCTCCCTGCGTGCCCTAGGATGAAGAGGGGGTGGGCCTGGATCTTCCTCTGAATTCCCTCTGCCTTGCTCTACCTCTCCCCTGCTCTGCCCAGCCGGACTGTGCCCTTCCCCAGTTTCTTCCACAGCCAACTGAGCCACACTCCCACTCCCTGTCAGTTGCTTGGCCTCCCCCTCAGAATCAGATTCTGACAGGGACATGACACTTATGATGCAGTGTGGTGAGGTGGATTGCCAGGAGGGAGGGGCGCATCCCAGAGGAATAAGAGACAGCTCAATCCAGATATTTTGTGTGAGAGAAAGGGGGTGAAGACAGCCCCTCCCTAATAGTTCTTAGAGTCTATGCATGATGTAAAGAATAGAGGGCTTTAGTTTGGCAAGATTCTGTCTATAGGTATGGAACAATAAAAGAACTTTGCTTGGAAGAATCAACATGAGCCTTTCCTGGTTTTGGGGCCTGACAATTCTCTTTCTTTCCCTCCCTTCTCCTGGGACCTGCCTGACCCATTTAAACAAGGGTCTTTTCTGATTTCTTTTCTCTTTCTGCAGTATGAGAAGTACACTGGGAAAATGGATGGGCTTCTGAGACATAATGTAAGTGCATTCATTTTGGAGGAGGGGGCTGGCCTTTTAAAGGGCCCCTGATGAAATTTACCAAACTGCATCCTGAGAAAGGAACAGAACCCTCTCCTGCCTCAGTTCTCTGGGTGGCGCTTCCATTGCTTTCTCTTCTTCTTCCAGTTTTATCCTGCCTACCCCAAAACCGTGTCGGGGATCTCCCCAGTCCTGCCTTCTGTGAATTTTGGCTCCCTGCAGGGGGCATTTCAACCTAAGGTGAACCCTCCAGACACAGTAGACCAATGGGGTTTTGTGGAAGTGTGAGCAGAGGGAAAGCTTTTGAATTGAGAGCTTCTGGCTTTTCTGCTTACTTTCCGGTAATAAAGGCCTTTTTGCATATTATAGTGGGGGAGGGGTTGAGGACTGTGACGCTTGAGTTTTCTGCACACAGTGAGTTTGGTGGGATAGATTAGGGCTGTGGAGAAGCGTGGTGATCCAAAAAGAATGCAGTTCAATGGGTCTGAGCATGAGAGGGCAAGTATTTGACATGCCAATTCAGCCATGAACTTTGAGAAAGAACTCAGGTTTTGAAAAAAGCTGTGGAGTTGTATATGGTTCCATAGAGTGGTGCCATTTCATGTTTGCCAATAATTTGGTAGGTAACAAAAAAGGAATTACAATTCCATGGCAACTGGGTGTGAAACTAGAATATTTCAGTGGAAGAAGCTGAAAGCTTTCTGAAGTCTGCAGTTGGAGGGGGACGATTTCAAGACGGTCTATGCTAGGGAATGCTAATCAATTGATTGTGCTTATATTTAATGGTTTGTTTTGCTTTCTTTCTTCCTCAGAGCACTAATCCTGACCTGCCTTCCCAGCTGGGTGCTGTCCCGCCCAGCATGTCCCAGAAAGGCAGCCAGGTGAGTTTACCCTCTATTCGGGAGAATGGCAGGGACAGTGGGGAGAGGATTACCCACCACCATGTGGTTTTTCTGTCTCCTTGCAGATCACTGATCCTTTCAGGCCGACCTTGAGAGTGAGTAACATTGGGAAGACCCTTTGATCTCACTGCAAAAGGGTGGATACGTGAGGTGAAAGGACTAGAAGTGGTGGGAGGGGGAGATACACCCTGGAGTAGGGAGAGTGAAGAAGTCAGGGTATAGGGCATAGAGGGTATTATGCCCTCAGGGACATAATGTGCAGAGCTGATAATTCCCCCTTCTCTCACAGAAGCTGGGGAAGTGGTGCGCCATGCACGTCCGTGTGGCATATATGATCCTGCGGCATCAGGAAAAAATAAAGGTAGGGTGAGCCTGGGCCACCTTTTCCCTCCACCTGCTGTGTACAGTGTCAGGGTGTGGCACAGGAGGTCCCTGCAACCAAATGGAGAGGAAACCTTGCTCTTCTGATGTCTCCCATGCTGGATGCTGGATCCAAGTTGGGGTTTGTGGTGCTGGGTTAGAGGTTGGTGAGCAGAATCACGAGACTGTTGTGAGGCAGAATAGGAGAGATCTCTGCCAAAGTATATAGAGTGAGGCCAGTTGGATTGACTTGTGCCTGACTTGTTGCTTACCAGGACTTCTTGCTCTTCTGTTTCCCCATAGCTGATGCAGGGTGATCCCCATAAATTGGATTTCCGGAATGACCTCCTCACTTGCTTGCCTGAGACCAGAGCCTTTGGCAGTCTGCCCCATAGCCAGGAGCTGGCACGCCCTGCCACCCTTTTCACAGCCGCTGGTCAGTGTACTTTTCACAACTACTGGAAGGCTTTTCCTTGACAATTAAATAACTGAGACTTTCTAAAGCTCACCCTGCCCATTTTTTGCCACTGCTACTAATTGTGCCATCTGCCTGCTACGGCACTTGGTGTTTTGATAATAAGACCCACAATGTTAGCCTTTATGCTTTCCTCAGTTTTCTGTCTGGAAACCCGAACAGGCAGGCCTTACCTTAATACAGGGGTTATGAGAGAAAACTAATTGAGGCACTTAAAACATGTGCTTAAATTACATTTTACCCTTGAAATATTTTTGTTTTGTGAGTCATCATTCTTTTGATGTGAAATATACTCATCATTCTCTTTCCCCCTTTTTATGTTAATCTAATATTGTGTCCTCACGTCCTCTCTCTTGTAGGTGTCGTTCATCCAGGTAATGTCCCCTCCTTTGCTCCTGCCACTGCTACTCATGGCTCTTTCCTCAACCCCAGTCCCCACATTGGTAAGACCTGATGTCCCAGAGTAACGCAGCCAAGAGAACAGGATCCAGTAGCTCTTCTGTATGATTGCTCACTCCTCCACTGATTTCTTTTCCAGATCCCTTTGGCAGGCCTCCTAGCTTTGCCTCTCTGGGCACCCTCTCCAATGGGGCATTTGGCGGCCTGGGCAACCCATCCTTCAGTGAGTATTTTTAAGAGAAAGGGCACAAGGCAGCTTTCTGTGGGTTATCAAAATGGCTAAGCAAGAAACCTTGTTTGCATACCAGCATTTTAAAAGATGGGGAGGGGGAAGCAACCAAGGACTATAAACTTCCCCATTACTTACTTGAATGTTAATTTTTCATTCCAACTGCTGAGGTTCTTGTGAAGTCTTAGAGAACTATAGGCTCTATTGCCATTTCAGTTGTCATCCTTCCCCTGTTCTGCAGTGGGTATGTGCGAAAATCGGACAGAAATAAGGTCCCTTGACTGCATCTGCAGTAACACTGACCCATATCATATTACTATGATTGTTTCAGCTGTAGTTAAAAAATTAAAAGGGCAACAAAGGCTTCCTAGTCTCTGCAAGTTAAGGATGATTTGAAAAATGGCAGCCATGATGACAGGCAGACACTGCAGCTCAGCCACAGCTAGAACACAGTTAACTCTCCAGCTGTAGGGTTATCTTGGTCAACTCATGCTGTATGAACACCTCCAGGGCCACAGTGTCACAAATGTTTAGATTAAATCTCTTTTGAGAGTAGAGCATTCATCATTTTCCTTTCTTTCTATCAAGCGCTAGGGAATCGTAGCTTTGTGATTTCCTAGTCAGCTGCTGTTGAATCTTGGATTTTGGCCGTTGATTTCTGAGGCCACATGAAAGACTAGGAATGCCACAAGTTGAACAATTTTTTTTACCAGTCAAGCGAGCGCATAATGAAGCATCAGATGCTAAACACCTTTCTGTTAACAGCTCACAAGTAACACAGAGCTGATGACTGTCTCCTCTACAGCACATTATCAAGAGGAAAAATTTCAGAAGTTTTAGCTTTTTACTGTTTTCCTTTACCACAGGTTTTGGATTTGTTTGCTCGATTCATAGAATTCCATTTATTTTTATTTTTATTTATTTGATATGTCAATTGCTTACAAGATACTAGGTATAAGTATAAACATAGTTATGAATACATGAAATGGATACATATAAGAAAAAGAAAAAGAAAACAATAGGACAGGGACGGTAGGCACGTTGGTGCGCTTATGCACGCCCCCTACAGACCTCTTAGGAAAGGGGTGAGGTCAATAGTAGACAGTCTAAGGTTAAAGTTTTTGGGGTTTGGGGAAGAAACCACAGATTCAGGAAGAGTATTCCAGACATTGACCACTCTGTTGCTGAAGTCATATTTCCTGCAGTCAAGTTTGGTGAAGTTTACCTTGAGTTTGTATCTATTGTGTGCTCTTGTATTGTTATGGTTGAAGCTGAAGTATTCATTTGACAGGTAGGACATTGCAATGTATGGTTTTATATACTATATTTAGATCGGACTGAAGGCGGCGTAGTTCTCGGTTTTCTAGGTCTAGAATTTCGAGTCTGGTGGCATAAGGTATTCTGCAATGAGTAGAGGAGTGGAGAAATCTTCTTGTGAAATATTTCTGGACTATCTCAACTGTGTTAATATCAGATACGTAATGTGGGTTCCAGACTGATGAGCTGTATTCAAGTATGGGTCTAGCAAATGTTTTGTATGCTCTAGTTAGTACTGTAATATTACCAGAGAAAAAGCTACGTAAGATTAGGTTAACAACTCTTGATGCCTTTTTGGCTATGTAGTTACAGTGGGCTCTAGCACTTAGATCATTAGAGATGAGTACCCCAAGGTCCTTGACAGAGTTTGGATCATCAACAAGGTCTTGACTATTCAGCCTGTATTTTATTTTCTGATTTTTTTTGCCAATATGTAAGACAGAGCATTTATTTGTTGAGATTTGAAGTTGCCATTTGTTTGACCATTCTGATACATAGTCGAGGAGTGAAGAGAATGCAGTTGCTCTTAATATGATCACAGAGGTCATTTATGTAGAGTATGAAGAGAGTTGGTCCTAGAACACTGCCTTGGGGGACACCGCTGTTGACAGGTACAGAATTTGATAAGACGCTCCCAATTTTGACCATTTGTTGTCTGACAGGAATGCTTCTATCCAGTTATGCAGGTGTCCAGAGATACCATAAGATTTTAGTTTTAGATTGTCGTGTACCACTGAATCAAAGACTTTACAGAAGTCTATATAGATTGCGTCTGTTGCTTTGCCCTGATCGAGTTGTGTAGTCCATATGTTTTTGCAGTGTAAGAGTTGCAGATTACAGGATAGTTTTTTTCTGAAACCAAATTGTTTATTAGAGAGTAGGTTGTTTGTCTCTAAGTGGAGGATAATGGATTGGTTAATAATTGATTCCATGACTTTACAGGTGACGCAGCATAAAGAGATTGGTCTGTAATTTTCAACTAGGCTGGGGTCTCCCTTTTTTAAGATGGGGATGACTGTGGCTTGTGACCATAGGTTTGGCAAGGAGCTGGTCTTGAAAGATTTGTCAAAGATTATGCTAAGAGGTTTGGCTATGGCAGTGGATAGCTTTTTTAAGAAGTAGGTACATATTCCGTCTGGTCCAATAGATAGAGATGGTTTTAGATTGCGTAGTGTTTTTTCAACACTGTCTTCTGTAAAATCGATATGTATTAGATCATTGTAGTTGTCTGTGGTTCGACTGGGAAATACTGGGCATGATCCATTGCTGTTTACAAATACTGAGCCAAAGAATGTGTTAAAGAGGTTGGCTTTAATGGTGTCGTTGCGGTCTTTACCATGTTGCAGTCTTTGAGTCTTTTAGTTTGTTGTTTACAAAATTGAAGAAAGTGCAGGTGGAATTGGTGCGTAGAAGATTTTCCTCTTATTTAATGTGATAATTGGTGCATTCGGTCTTTATCTGGTGGCATAAATTTTTGTATCGGCTTTTGAAGTTGGCAACGTGACCAGATTTGTTTTTCCGCCAAAGTGATCTCTTTTTGGATTGAAGCTTCCTTATTGTTATGGGTAATCTGTTTTTTTCTGGTTTTGGGAGTTGTTATTGGTACATATAGTTTGATGACTTCAAGTAAAAATATGTTGTAATGGTCTTCAACAGTATTGCATCCAGTGAATAGAAATTGCCAATCAAGGGATGAGAGATCATTATCTATAAGATCATAGTGGCCTTTTTTGAAGTTATAAATGGGGATTACGTCGTTGTGATGATTTTTGTGTGGACGTATGTTGAGACAAAAGTCAATCATGTTGTGGTCACTGTTGGAAAAGGGTTCTTTAATTTGTATTCCGTAAATTGAATTCAAACTATTGCAGAAGATGAGATCGAGGCAGTTGTTAAGTCTAGTATCGTTGGTTACTAGTTGTTCCAGTCCCAGATTTGTTACAGCATTGTAGAAGGTTGCATGTATGGGTTCAGATTTACATTCGTTTAGGGTCCAGTTAATTTGAGGTAGATTGAAGTCACCAAGAAAGATAAAAGTGTGTGGGCAGGATGTTGCCCATGTTAGTAGTGAATTTAGCTTGTTTACATGTTCAATGTCATAATCAGGGGCCCTGTAACATAGTAAGAATCGAAATGTGATATTTAAGGACAGTTCACAGACGATGGTCTCAGGAAGAGCAAGCTCCTGGGTAATTTGGATGTTTTTTAGATGTAAGGACTTTTTATAGAAGATAGCAAAACCACCTCCTCTACGGACTTCACGATCTGATCGGTAAACATGGTAGTCTCTTACTGAGGTAATGGGGTCAGGGAGAGATGCGATGAGCCATGTTTCACAGACAAATATGATGTCGAATTTAGCCATATTTAGTAAGAGGAGAAATTCAGGTATTTTATTCATAAGGCTTCTTGCATTGAGTAGCTTGCATTTAAGGCCAGTTGTATTTATCTCCTACCCATTTGATAATTTTTGCAAGGTTTATTACATAAGGCTTTTAATTTTTCTGTTGAAAACAGCATATGGTAAACTCAACTCAAATCTCTACCCTTTAGAAAAGGCAGAGACAGGCAGGAAAGTCAGATTGCTTTATCAGGCATCTAAGAGAGAAACTTAGGCTGGAGGTTTCTCTGTCATATACAGGCAGTCCTTGACTTACAACAGTTCATTTAGTGACCGTTCAAAGTTACATTGGCACTGAAAAAAGTGGTGTATGACCATTTTTCACACTTATGACCGTTGCAGCATCCCCGTGGTCATGTGATTTACATTTTGATGCTTGATAACTGGTTCATATTTATGACAGTTGCACTGTCCTGGGGTCATGTGCAACCTTCTGACAAGCAAAGGCAATGGGGAATACAGGTTCACTTAACAATTGTTTTATTAACAACTGCACTGATTGTCAGCTGGTGCTCCATTCAAAATCCAAGAAAGAAATACTTAGACTCCATTAATTAGAGAAAAGATATATTTTACTGGAAATCAAGTGGTAGCAACAAAAGAATTCTGAATCTGAGAAAATGAGTGCGTAAATCACATATACAAAGTGATGGCAACGTTCCCACCCCCAATAGTTCAATTGGCTCATCCAGTTAAAAGTTGTGTATATCATCATGTGGGCATCTCCAGGTGGTGATGAGGCCTCTGTCCGTTGACCTTGACATATTTTGATAAAGAGTTGTGGCTGCACATAGCATAGGATAGAAGCCTAAGCAAGAGCCTTCTCCCCCACAACTTATTCAGTTCTGTTTTGTAACACCTCCAGCTCGCTTCCCATAACCATGTCCCCCCTCCTCCCCCCCATTACTTATGACAGCCGAAAGATGCAAAGCAAAGGAAGAAAATCTTGAAGGCTGACATTCGGCCCTCCTGCAAAAGAGGCGTTAGTCCTATAAAAGATAAAAATAGAAGATAACAGAAAATGTACATGTAACACCATAATACTATTTTTTAGGGTTTATCAGAATATTTCGTGTGAAATGCATTGATAAGCTTAGGAACTCTAACATCCTTCTCATTCACCCGTTCAGACTGGGAAGGAGGAAAATGTTTCCAAACAATCAAATATTGGAGATGACCCCTTTGTTTTCGAGAATCCAAAATTTCTTTAACTTCAAAATGTTGTTCACCTTCAATTAGCAATGGCACGGGGGGATCGACCTGAGTCGGTCTCAAGTCGGAGGTATGTTC